GACTCGAAATTTTCAACAGCATTGATTTCTATTTGGAGCTCTGAGATATTTTCGTTCTGGATTCTGATCGAAGCAACCCGGACTGCGTTTATTTGTTCCTGTTCAGGTGGAGGAACACTTTTTTAAGAAAAGTTCAAGTTTGTCTAAGTGGGGAGTTCTCGGAGTGAACTTTTGTAATTCAGATCCCCGGTGATGTTAACCGATGCTTACAATCAACCGGTGCTAGTGCTGTTATGAGTGCAGAAGGCATTTTGTCGAATCCATATTTATTCGAAGAACGACACGAGGTGAATTGGCTGGTGGCAAAGGAGTATCTTGATTTCGCTGAGCGTTACGAATCCACTGTAAGCACAATCAGGGCGCATCTGTTTCGCATCTGTCACCATAGGTTTGTTGGTTTTCTGCGTTCTATAGGGCTCTTGAAGGCCAGGGCTTCTAACTGTGAATTGTCGATGAACGGCGGAACTTACATCCTGGCAACTCTTACCAAGCCATAACAAGTCGCAAACTCTGACGTGATCGTACGCGCTTCACAAACATGCTTGACAGCTGAGTTTAAAATAATTAGCTCACACGTGCATGGAGAATATCCCTGGAAAGTTCCAGCTCCCCATCTTGTCTGGTTTGCGAGATCGTTTCCCGCCAACGAAATTTGCATATTTTCGGGGGAAGAGGGGGGGGGGAGGGCGTACGCGGGGTCTAGGCGCATATGAGGGGAGATCTTGAAACGGGAGGATAACAGATGGGGTAGGAACATATACCCAGAGTTTCAACCTCCCAGCTTTCCTGGTTGCTGATATGAAAGCGGGTGACAAAATGCACTCGATTCCGAACACAAACACACACACAGCCTCTCGACAGTACGCGTTTTTGCTGGCTGTAGCAGCGCTATAGCGCTGCACAGCAAAAACGCATAGAAATGCTCCAATGGACACGATAGGTATGAAAAATATTTATTTGTTTTTAAGTGCTGAGAAACTTTTATTAGACTTGAACAGAAAAAGCTATTTCAAGAGTAGATATTAGCCATCAGTGAAGTCTATTTATTTCTTGTTATGGAGTATCTGCACACATTTTAGTTTATTGGAATATAACGATTTGCGTGAACGGCTCTCGTGTGTCTGTACGTTTCTGGAGTTCCGCCGAATCCTTGATGACTTGGAACAACGAGTTATGCGAGTGCTTCATACAACACAGTCTGGATTTGCCGGTTAACATTTCTTCAAATTTTTATTCTTTCTGAAAAATTTAAACATAAAATTGCGTCCTTTACAAAACATAGCTATTTCTGCAAGGATGTGGTTTAACCCATATTATCATAATTTCGATAGTCTTCATTCTCTACCTTATTTTTTCGCGCTTCCACTATGTTAGCAGTGTCTGTTATTTTTACTGACCGAATTAATCTTTGATATCCAGAAAGCGAAATTGCTTTTTACGCACGGTGAAACAGGGAATGTACTGAACTTCCAGTCGAAGCGTTATCAAGTTACTTTGTGTTCTCGCTCATACTAAGGACCCAGATGGAAGGGATGGATTTTTGTCAGTATTTCCGTTTGGTCTCTCTCCCATCCTTTTGGCTCCTTCCACCACTTTTCGTGAGTGCAGCACGTCGTAAGCGGTTTCTCTTGCCAATAGTATTTTAGCGAATAATTTTGAAGCATTTTGAAGCTTAATTTTTTGTTTTGGAATGGCTTTTCATTGTAGTAAATTTGGTTTTGCATAAGTTGCAGAAGTACGAGAAGCAGCGCTATCCTCCTCGCCCTCCTCCATGCCTCATTGGGTTTGCAAACCGTATTACCGTCCGATGCGGGACAATTCTGCGGTCTCGGATTCGCTGTATCGTGAACGTCGACGAGCAGAATTAGAAGCATTGGCTGAAGAAACGGGCCTTTCAAAAAGACAGATACGAAAGCGTGAAAAGCGAAAGGTTTTTCTTAAATTTTCATTCTGAACCCAGATTTATTACGCGCATTCTCGAGTGCGACCGCTGTGTATGTATGTATGTATGTGGATATATGTGCGTGTGTATGTGTGTGT